TCCAAAAGAGGCTATCTCGTTTTTTTTCATAAAGCAGTTATTAGAAGTATGTTCATGTTTCCTGAAAAGACCAGTAATAAAATGAGAACTATTAACTATAGACACATTGTAATGGGACTTAAGTTAAATGTGTGTTATTAAAATACTTCTCAGAATTGTCATTGTTTCTGAGAATCAGTCTTCATATTAAACATTTAACAACTTTAGAAAGGAAGTTACTATATATTCAGGATTTAAGAGGGAAAAGGTTTTGGTTGAGTTTTCTTAATGTCTTTAATAGGAATTAAATATTTGTTGACAATAGGGATCCTCAAGAAAAGAAAAGATACTTCTAAAATCTAGCCATTAAATCTAGTTTCATACTTTCTAGTTTTCTTCAATTATACTTGATCTACAGAAAATTGAAAATGCAGCCACCACCTGGAAAAAACATACATAATTCATTGGACATTTTCCTTTCTTGAAAAAACTCAACAGTTACCTTATGCAAATTAGTAAGAAGGTAAGTTGGCAAAAGGGTGCAAATGTCACAAAACGATCATACCCTTTTGGCCTGGTATTGCTATTTTAGTGAAGACATTCAAGGGGGAGAAATATGACAACTGGTATTTGGTTACTTGCCAGTGAACTATTACATAATGAATTTTAAGTAACAGGAACATTCCTAATTTCCAGCTATACAGAAAGAATGGTTAGACCCATTGTGATGTTAAAACTAAAATAAGTATTTACTTAGGAAAAAAATGAGGATTACATTAAAATAAATAAAGTACTTAAAAGAAATCAGTGGGGAAAACCAAAATTTTATGAAATTGCTGCAGTTCTGTCAGAATAAACTAGTAGGATCAAAAGAATTTGATGTTTATAAACACTTGATGTAAAACTTTTTCATTTTATTTTACTTTTGCATTCCTTTTTATTATTGTTACCATGCTTTCTATTCAATTGTATGTTTTCTACTAAAACTCTTAATATTTAAAAAATGTTAAAATCTCACAATCAACTCAACAGAGCAGCTGTCTGACCATAATTCAATGAATCTCTAGATTTGGAAGACAATGTAACTATCATCTAGTTTATCCCTTCTGAATCTATCCACCACCCCACCACCAGAGTCTTTTTGTTTGTTTGTTTTCTTCATCTTTGAGAGGGGTTATCACCGAAGCACCACATTTGTTTGGGGAAAGTATTAAAAAAAAAAAAAAAAAAAAAAAAAAAACTTCCTTAGACTGAAATTTACCTCCCAATAACCTTCACCAATTTGGTTAATTTGGTATCAGTTCTACATTTTAGTCTACACAAATCTTATTTTTCTTATACCTGTGCAACTGCTATATTTTAGGTCAGGTACTATAGATTTTTAGAATGTTCCTGGCAAGGCAACTCTATTTACCTCAAGTATCTTAATTCATGTTTGCAACTCCCTGATAACCTAGGACATAGGAATTGAATATTTGCTGATTTCTTCACTCTTCTTCTCGTTCGAGTCTGGTTAGACATATCCCCCATACAATGAAATGCTTGTAACTCAACAAAATCTCCCAAGTGTTGACTGCATTCTGGAGATTTTCATCCCTTAGATGTGAAATCCTCATGAGTTGTGGGTTCTTTAACTTAAGTGAGGGCCCTGAAGTATAGAATGTTACATTCTGTTCATTAAATTTCATTTTCTAAGATTTCACTACTCATACCGGACTTTGAATACTTTCTGGGTAAGGTATCTTTCTTCCAACTCAAGTTACCTCAACTGGCCATGGGACCGTAGAAACGAAGGTGACCTCAAATGTCCCATTGATAGGTCAACTCTAACCTGAGGGAATGGAAGTTATCTCCTATTTTCGTTACTAAATAAAACGGTCATATACGTGTTACCCGTAAGTCTGCATTTATTTCCCACACACTCCCACCCACAAGCTGAGGGTACAACCCAGCCTATAGCTGGGGCTGCCTCTAACAAGGTGCCTTAGATAACGACGACTTATCCCGCTTTAAAGTAAGTACGCTACAAACAGCGATGAGCAGACAAGAGATGAAAGAGACTGGCCTGCTCCCAACTCAGCTCCTCTCTGCAAAAACCTGGTTATCTAGCCACAGAAGGACACCGGAAACAACTCCGAGGACAAAGACCCTGGGCAGTCATGCACCGGGAGGCAGCATCACTTGCGTTCCCGAGGCGGCTACGCCGGCGCGCGCAAACCTTTCTCTCCGCGCGGGGGTCACGGGGTCACGTGCCAGGCGCCGAGCTTCGCCCCGCCCCTTGGCCTAGGATTTTTACACCTCCTTCCCCCGCTCGGCAAGCGTGCAAGGATGGGGACTGGCTGATGGGGGAGGATTACCTGTGAGTCTCGCGAACCCAGTAATACTTTCGGGGACTGGGAGCCGCTTCAGATACGCGGGGAGCTGCACCTTCAAGATGCGGGCCACGCTCTCCAGCACCATCCCGGCCAGCAGTGTCCGCTCGTCTCCTGAGCCCCCTCCGCTCTGGTCAAGCCGCAGCGCCTGCGCCGAGAGCGGAAACGGCCAGCGGGCACTGGCGGCCTTGGCCTGGGCAGCGGGCGGGGCGGCGGGCGTGTGTGGAGAGGTGACCTGCCGGGCGCCGATTGGCGGCGGACGAGTGACGTACACGGGAACGGGCGGGTAGCGAGGCCCTCCTCGTAATCTGTTGTGAAGGTGGCCCTCCTTTTGGGCCTTTAAAGTCTGTAGATGTTGGAGGGCAGCAGAAAAAACATACTGTGTGAGATGAGATAAGCACGTGAGAGTGCTTTCTAACCGGAAAGTGCCTTTCAAAAGTGAGTCCCTCTTGCTGTCTGTACTTCGTCCCCTGTCGCCACACCTCTTCCCCTACAGTTAGGTGCTGGGGCCCTAGGGTTGCGTAGTCACCCGCGAGTATCCTCCTCCCCCTACCCACATCGCAGTGCCTAATTTTACTCCTTCACCCCAAAGCCCAAGCTTAACAAAATAAAAATTAAAATATTTTAACTAAACCAGGAACTACAGCTCTGCCCCTTGGCAACTTAACTGCAGCCCTGTCTCCAAAAACCTTCTCTAGTTTTTGCCACTCAGAGAAGATTCATAGTAGCCCTTCCTTAGATATTTTCAGTTCCTTCCAAAGATCAGTTCTTAAGGTTAAAACCCTTAGGGAAAGTGGTAAAAGAATCTAAAGCCTTACGGTTTTCTTATGTTGCAAGCTTCTGCTAAAGTCTAGAGCAGGGGGTCCAATCTTATGGCTTCCCTGGGTCACACTGGAAGAAGAATTGTCTTGGACCACACGTAAAATACACTAACACTAACGATAGCTAATTAGCTAAAAAAATAAAAAAGAAAAAACTCATACTGTTTTAAGAAAGTTAACAAATGTGTATTGAGTGGCATTCAAAGCCATCCTGTTGGGCAAACTTGATCTAAAATATTCTTGAAGGTTTTAATTTTTTTAATTTTTAATTTTTTTTTTTCATACAAGGCTCTATTGCCCAGGCTGTAGTGCAGTGGTGAGATCATAACTCATTGCAGCCTCCAACTCCCAGGCTTTAGGGATCCCCCTGCCTCAGCCTCCCTAGTAGCTGGGACTACAGATGTGTGATACCATGCCCAACTAATTAAAAAAATTTTTTCTGTGTGTAGATGGGGTCCCATTATATCGCCCAGGCTGGATCGTTGTTTTTATTAATATCTCTAAAAGATTTGAAAGATGAGAGGAGAAAATTTCAGTCCCTTGAAATACCTTTCTTGCTATGACTTTGTTTCATATTTTGGCTGAAGTCAAAATGTCCAAAGTCATGCACTTGCTGATTGGATAACGTGTGATATCTTAATAACGTTTCTCATTATTTACAGTTCTCCACTTAACCAACAACATATAATAATTAACTGCTTATGGTCCAGTATTTCATTTTGTATGACAGTGTAACAGCCAGTTATAGTAAATAGTTTTTATTTTTCCCCTTGGTATTTTTATTTTAAAGTGAGAAAAGGAAGGAATTCTTTAAAGCAATCTTTCATTGTCTGGACTGCATAAATTTAGTGTTTGTGATTGTCCTTCATTAAAAAAGAGTAACTATCAGTAAGAGAGTTGACGGAAATCTAGATTGAATAATTTTCTATCATTATAACCTGTTCAAAATTGTTAAAGTAAAATTTACAATGGAAATTCTACAAAGATGTTTAAATACAGGTTCATGTTTTTGAGTTAGGTCAATACAGAAGATGATATATACAAAGTGATGATTAAAAGATTGATGTTTAAGATTTCCTTTACAGAGCTTTAAGTTTGGGGGTAAACCCTGGAGCTTTTTTATCCTGAAGATGATGAAACATGAATAGCCTTATCCTCTGGACTATTCTGTTAGCTGTTATCTTTAATTTTTGTGGATCTAGTGTAGAAGCACCCTTGGATACAACTAGGTACCCTCGTTAAGGTAGGGGTAGGTTGGAAGTGGGGTACATTAGGGGAAGAAAAGCTTGGAAAAGGCCATTATGTATTCGTTTCTTCTCTTAGAGGATCTGTCATCTTGACAAGGGCAAGATGTGCTGGGTTGAGTTCATTTTTCCCCTTAGTATTTTATAGTAAGAAAAGGAAAGAATTTTTTTAAAGCAACTTTTCATTCTCTAGACTGTATAAATTTAGTGTTTGTGATTGTTGTGTCTTAAGAACTGGTTCCTTAAGACCTCTACGCAGTTTTTCTTTAAAGAATTAAAAAATACATATCTCAGTTTAAAGATATAGTGAAATGCTTAAGTACCAAATGTACAGTTCCAGGTAACCGCCACCCACATCAATATATAGAATGTTCAACAGAGGGCTTTTTAAAAAGTGCCCCTTCTAACCCTATCCACCACCATTACTGCTATTCCATATTGCTGTGCATGTTTTTGACCCTGATATATACCTAATTATACAGTATGTAATTGTTTATGGCTGGCTTCCTTCCTCTTAGCAGTTTATGTGAAATAGCTGGTTTGCTATTTTCAAGTAGAAAAAAATATAGTGAATGCAAGTCTATATGGATAAAACTTTTTTGAGAGGCCTTGAAATTCAGAGAAGAGGTGTGGATCATGCATTAGCTATTCTGATCCATTATATGAGTTATGCTAATGTATAAAAGGAGATAATTCCTAACCCCACCAATTTAAAAATCCCTATTATCCATTTATAAGGAATATTTTCTTAAATTCCTTTACTTTAAAATTTAAATCCTGTTTTCATTCATATTTTTACATTTGTATTTCATTTCCACAACCCTGCCTTCTTGGCTGTACATGCAACATGATCTAAAGATAATATTGCTCTAAATAGAAATAACAGGCTTATCTGACCACCTTATGATATAGTGTTTTTTGACTCCATGTTTAAAAAACATAAAGAAACTGTGGCCAGAAAAGTCAAGATAAAGTAAATATGTAAATACAGTTAAAGGAGTCTTTTTTTTACTTTCAAGCACTTGAGTGAGGATCAATAATTGTCTGCCTGTGTAGGTTTTGTGTCCTAGCTAGGCTCAAGACTTATTTCTTTTATGCTTTTTTCCCATTAGTTCATCTAGTGCCCCAAATTCAAATATGATCATTAAGTTGATATAGCCCAAATCTCTATTTTCAGCCCAGATTTATTTGAGCTAATCTCAATTCTAGGAGGCTAATTCCAAATGCCTACTAGACTTCTCTTGACATCTTTGCCCACTGTGCTATTAGTGTGTTCATCAGTTTCACTAGTACATGTTTTCTGGAAAATACTATCCTGTTGGTTACATAGGTGTGATCTCGGCTCACTGCAACCTCCGCCTCCCAGGTTAGAGCCATTCTCCTGCCTCAGCCTCCCAAGGAGCTGGGACTACAGATGTCTACCACCATGTCCTGCTAATTTTTGTAGTTTTAGTAGAGACAGGATTTTACCATATTAGCCAGGCTGGTCTGGTCTTGAACTCCTGAACTTGTGATCCACCCGCCTGAGCCTCCCAAAGTGCTGGGATTAGAGACATAAGCTGTCACACCTGGCCGTGTATGTCTTTTTTTATACTGAAATTTGGTTTAGGTGTAGTGAAGTTTATTCGTCCTTTTTTTCTTTTTTCTTTTCTTTCCTTTCTTTTTTTTTTTTTTTTTTTTTTTTTTTTNCCTGTTAAGATTCAGCCTCGAGCTAAGGATCATTAGAGCATAGCTTTTCCATTTGTTTTTTAAATTTTTTATTTATATTTTGTTGATGTTTTGAGGCAGAGTCTTGATCTGTTTCCCAGGCTAGAGTGCAGTGGTGCAATCTCAGCTCACTGCAACCTCTGCCTCCTGAGTTCAAGCAATTTTCCTGCCTTAGCTTCCTGAGTAGCTGGGACTACAGGCTTGTGCCACCATGCCAAGCTAATTTTTTGTATTTTTAGTAGAGACGGGGTTTCATCGTGTTAGCCAGGATGGTCTAGATCTCCTGACCTTATGATCCACCTGCCTCAGCCTCTCAAAGTGCTGGGATTACAGGCGTCAGCCACTGCGCCCGGCTCGTCTTTTTCTTTATAATTTGTGTCCTGGGAGTCTTCTTTAAGAAATCTTTTTCTACCCCTAAATCACAAAGGTATTCATCTGTGTTTTTGCTAAAAGTTTTTAAACTTATATTCTTCATATTAGGGCTTTACTCAACCCAATATTTATTTTCGGTGCATGACGAAGGGATCTATTCTTATGGGTTACTATTTTATATACAAACAACTAATTGTTCTAGCACCATTTATTGAAGAGTTAAACTTTTTGTGTGTGTGGTTTGTCATGTCACTTATCCCAAATCAGGTTTCCACACATCCCTGGGTTGCTTACTCTCTTCCATTTCTCTACTTCTGTAACAATACCATACTGTCATAATTGCTGCAACTATGTAAGTGTTAATATCTAGCAAGATAAGCTTCCCCACCTGTTTTCTTCAAATTGCATTGAGAATGCCTGGCCCTTTACTACTCTGTGAATTTCAGGGTCATCTTGTCAATTCATATGAAAAAACTTTTTATTGAAAATAAATTAGGGCCTCAGTTTTCTCCTCTGTGATATGGTGATAACAGTGGTTATGACTAGATACAATTAATTTTGTAATGTACTCAATGAATGATTGTTATCATTATCATCTTTACCATCAGTGAATGACCCTTTACTCTGGCTTTGAGACCTTAAATTCAGAAATTTTATCTCTGACCACCACCTCAACTAAACATTCTTTGACTTAGTGGTGAAACCCTCTCTTTTTCTACTCTAGTCAGCCCATTCCTGGATTTATTTATTTTTCTCATTCCTCACAGAAGTTGTTCAAATCTTCACTATTCTACGTTAATAATTATGTCTTCTATTAACACTACTAGGCTTATTTTAGGCGCAGATGACCTTGATTTTTAGTTACCAGAGAAGCATTTTTTTACTATCATCTCTACTTGGTCATAATCCCTCCTATACTTAGCTTTTGTTCTATTCTCCAAATCTAACTGCTCCCTGTATTCTAGAGCTGGATTCTTCTAAGAACTTGCTTCATCAATTACCTCTCAAATTTTCATTTTTTTTAACTCTTTACTGGCCCTATAAATTGATGACTTCCAGACTTTTAGATTTCATCAGCCAGTAGATTTTTAAATTGGGAAGTCAAGGTAGGTTTGCCAATTTTTTATTTGGCCAAAAAAAGGGTATTTAATAACTCTAACAAAACACTACTACCGTCAACTTACTACAAGGAATTACATACAGCATTATAGTTATAGACCCTTGGAACCACACTGTTTGGACTACAATTCTGATTCTGCTAGGATAAATTATGTAACCTGTAAAAATGTAGGTAGTACCTACCTCTTAAGGTTATATTGTGTATATTCACTACATTAAGACATATATAGCAATTAAAACAGTACCTGGCACATATATATGCATAGTTAGTATGATCTTTCATCATCATCATTAATTTTTTTACATAATTATCAACTCATCTTTTTTATTCTTAGCTGCACCTTGTTTTTTTCACAGTGAGTGGTTTAGGTCTGCATGATCAGTGTAATTACATAATGTGTCAATACTAATAACATGGCTACTGAGTATTTAAGATTGTTATAAATATAAAATTCTTAAAGGAAGCCCATGCAGATTTCTGGAGCTTCTTCTCTAGATGTGGTTTGTATGACTCCTCCAAATCTCATATTGAAATTTGATCCCAGCTGGTTACGATGACTCACGCCTGTAATCCCAGCACTTTGGGAGGCTGAGCTGGGCAGATTACTTGAGGGCAGGAGTTCAGGACCAGCCTGGCCAACATGGTGAAACCCCATCTCTACTAAAATTACAAAAATTAGCCAGGTGTGGTGGCGCATACCTGTAATCACAGCTACTCAGGTGACTGAGGCATGAGAATCACTTGAACTCGGGAGGTGGAGGTTGCAGTGAGCTGAGATTGCACCACTACACTCCAGCCTGGGAAACAGGATGAGACTGCCTCAAAAAAAGAAAAAGAAATTTGACCCCCAATGTTGTAAGTAAGGCCTAGTGGGAGGTGTTTGGGTCATGAGGGTTGTTCCCTCCTAAGTGGTTTGGTGCAGTTCTTATGATAATTAGTTCTTCCTCTGTTTGCTCCTGTGAGAGGTGGTTGTTAAAAAAGAGCCTGGGGCCGCTGGGCACAGTGGCTCATGCCTGTAATCCCAGCACTTTGGAAGGCTGAGGTGGGCAGATCACCTGAGGTCAGGAGTTCGAGACCAGGATGGTCAACATGGTTAAACCCTATGTCTGCTAAACATATAAAAATTATCTGGGTATGATGGTACATGCCTGTAATCCCAGCTACTTGAGGGGCTGAGGCAGGAGAATCTCTTGAACCCGGGAGATGGAGGTTGCAGTGAGCTGAGATCATGCCACTGCACTCCAGCATGGGCAACAAAGCGAGACTCTGTCTCAAAAAAAAAAAAAAAATAGCCTGGACACCCCCATATCCTTCACTCCTTCTCTCTTGCCATGTGAACTGTGTACTTAACGGGCTCCTCTTGCCTTCTTGCCCTCAGTGTAAGCAGCCTGAAGATCTCACAAGAAGCAGATACTGGCATCATGCTTCTTGTACAGCCTGCAGAATAAATTATCCAACCTCAGGTATTCCTTTATAGTAACCCAAACAGACGGAAACACATACTACAAAAGTTAAGTGTACTGAACTTCTTAACAGTAGCTCTGGAAGTTAAAGGCAATTCTTAAAATATCTGAAGACAAATTACCTGTAATTTAGAATTCTATGCCAATCCAAACTAAGATCCAGCTGTGAAACTATAATAAAGTCATTTTCAAACCTAAAGGTTTAAAAACTACACAATCTATGCATCCTCTTCTCAAAAAGCTAATAGAGAATGTGTTCGACCCAAATGCAGAATAAACTAAGAAAAAGTAGGATATTTGATCAAGGAAATAAGAAACCCAAAATAAGAGAAAGGTAGAAGGAATCACAGAATGATGGATTGGAAAAGTAGATGAAATTAATGGAACAACTGATATGCTTTAACAAATTGAGAGGATACTTACAGTGGACTATAGGTTGGGGTTAAATTAATGATTATCACATGAGAAACTAAGCAATTTAAAAAAAAAGAATTATCAAATCTGTCTTTTTGCACATTTTTAAAGGGACAAGCAAACTTTTTTTAGTAGAACATTTTGATTTTGGTGTTTGGTGTTCTTACTTCCCTTTTGCTTATGAGGAACTACATTTGGAACTGCCTTGCCCTAACCCACAGTTTTAAGAGGAAGTATTGCAAACTAGAAATAAATGGAAAACTAGAGAAACAACTGAGATCTGTAACCAGTAACATAGCAAAACTATTTTAAAATCACCTTCCGTAATACTTTGTGGTACTAAAACCAAGCAAAACTTGGCTATATGTATATAGCCAAGGTAGGAGGATCACCTGAGGCCAGGAGTTCAAGGTTGCAGTGAGCTATGGTCATGCCTCTGCACTCCAGCCTGAGCAACAGAGTGAGACCCTGTGAGTCAATACATAATAAATAAATAAACAAACAAGCAAACAAATGGT